ATCATTTTTCTTCAGAGCTATTTTTCTATATAAACAATTAAAATGATAGTAGAAAAAAAAAACATTTACTATTTTTAGATATAGAAAAATTCTATCATTATGATTTCTACACAATTTGAGAATATATAAGTCTAATAGAATTCAATTTCTTTCTTGTTTTCTAATAAGGAAATACTTCTAAGTGTCAAATCGCTTTTGAGTCGAAGCTATATGCATCATATAGATTCTAATGATCTATGAATCTTATGAAAAGATTCGAACCAACACCTTATTACCACCGAGATATTATATTTTTTATAAAAATACTGAGATCCCTCACTCAAGAAAATTGAATTTCGAATTTTGACTTGCACTTTAACATAGAGACAGGCTTTATTGAGAATAGTTTATTGTAAAACTTTCAAGTCGAAATTCGAAACTCAGCTTTTCTAATGTTTCTGAGATGAATCACGAAATTCTCATAAAGAATACAATATCTCGACAATAATAAGTTATTAGTTCGAACTCTTTTCAAGATATTCATAGCTCATTAGAACCTATATGGTGCATATAGTTCCGACTCAAAAGTGATTCTACACTTAGTAACGTCTCCCTCGGACGTGAAGTTACAAAAATCATGTATAAATTCAACACTTTTACCTTTAGAAAATATTTGTGTCATTTTTCATGAATTAATCTGTTTAGTTATACATAGAGATTAATAGAATATTCTAATTATTCGTAAACGAATATTGCTTCCATTGTATTATTAGTTTTATTGTTATATCATAGAAAAAGAAAAGGTGAATATCATAAATGTGAATGTGAATCAAGATAATCAATCAAAATACTATTTTTTTATATATAACATTTCGAGAAGAAAAAAAACAAGGCTATTTCTTGAAGTTTTACTTCGTACAGAATATAAAGCAGTCAGATACAAAATGCGACAGACAAAATAAAAGGTGAATGATAAATATTTATTTAAAAAAATCTACTAATAAAATCAAGTCATCACGAGTATCCTACTCATGTTATCAAAATCGCAATTATTCAAATACAGGTGGTCCATAAATAGCACTATGATTAAAAAAACAATGACGTACCTTCGCATTCTTAAAAAGAAGTTGGCTGACTTTTGTATTAGTGTTAGTAGTTAATTCAAACTTTTTTTTTCAAACGGATCCGGTAAGCTTATTTTATTATTAAGGATTGTTTTTCATATTTAGAAAGGAATTTGATCTTTTTATCAAGCGAAAAAATACAAGTGTAGTATTTCACAGATAAATTTCAGTTGTCGTCTAGGTGAAAAATAAGAACAAGTCAAATCGAACTTAATCAATCCAATCTATATTTATGCACATAGAGCAACTTTTTATTAAAACTAGTTAGTTTAAAAGTCAACGAATAAAATATGTTGAGTTTTCAAATCTGAGACATTGCATTTTGCAAGAAGGTTGATGTTTTACCACTCAAAAGGATGTGCTTGCATTTTATTTATGAGCACGAATTTCAGTATTTAAACTAATTAGTTTTAATAAAAAGTTGTTCTATGTGCATAAATATAGATTGGATTGATTAAAGTTCGATTTGACGTGTTCTTATTATTCACCTAGACGACAATTGAAATTTATCTATGAAATACTACACTTGTATTTTTTCGTTTGATAAAAAGATCAAATTCCTTTCTAAATATGAAAAACAATCCTTAATAATAAAATAAGCTTACCGGATCCGTTTGAAAAAAAAAGTTTGAATTAACTACTAACACTAATACAAAAGCCGGCCAATTTCTTTTTAAGAATGCGAAGGTACGTCATTGTTTTATTTAATCATAGTGCTATTTATGAACCACCCTGTAATATTTTCTTTAATTTGTCGTGGTCGTAGTATTCAAATCTGAGACTATGGCTTCATCTTGAACTGTACACACCGCTACTTACTACAGTTCTCATATAGATGTTTCTGATGAATGAGAAGAGAAATAATTTGTTTCTCTTCATTCGCAGTAAATGGCACACAGATTTTTTAAATTAAATAACAATTATTGTTCATTTGAATGATTTGAGAGTCTAAATATGAGAAAAAAAGTTACTCTTATAAAATAATGCTCCCTTCTAATGTCGCACTTTTATTTACAATACCATCAGTATATTGAGATACTTGTAAGAACTGGCGGTGACGCTTATTACTTTCAATTTCAACTGTAAAAGATTGCAGAGTATCTTCTACTTGAATTCGAACTTATTACTAGGAAGAAGAATTTAAATTCATCAGCAAAAACCAATTTCAAAATAAATTTTTCTAATAAAAGTTTTTTGCAACATCATCTATAATGGAAAATTTATCTCAGAATTAGAGCAGATCAGGGCTCTGTGACTAGTACAGATGAGCAAACATTAATCTAATTGGATCGAAATTATTTCGATTCTGTCTTTTTTTAACAGACTTCAAACATATACAACCGTTTTGATACAATATGCCACAATACACTTCTCAAAAAACTACCGGTAAAGCGCACATTATAGCAATCAGTAGACGAATATCTACCGCCAATTTTTCTTCAGTTCGAATTATATGGGTATCAACTTTGACGATAAGATAATCCAAATAAAACGAAAATTATTTTAAAATAAAATAATGGGAACAAAATATTTGATCAGTAAAAAAGATTAAATGATCAGTATAGAAATGGAACGATCAGTACTAAACGTATCAGTAAATAATAAAAGAATGATTAGTATATTGTATATAATTACCAGTAAAATATACAATTTATTCCAGTAACAAATACAAATTTGATTAGTATAGGATAAAAATTTTATCAGTAGAAAAATAAGTTTTAATCGTATTAAATAAAAAGTTATCAGAAAAAGAAATTTAAATAATTAAAGAACAATTCGCAAGAATATTTTATAGAAATCTAAAGAGTGAGTGAGAAAAGAGAAAATGAAAATAAAAATAAAATTATTGAACTAGCAAACCAGGCTTAATCATAACTGTCTACCACTTTTTCTTTTCTCGCCAATGGGAACTGTTTTTGTTGCTACTTCTCGTTTGCAATATATTAAATGAATAAGCATTTTCTTCCAAAAACTTCATCGGATAAATTGCTTGTATATTGTGCAACCTCTACCATTTTCATCTCTTTCACTTGCTAAAATTTGAGTAATGATGAGCAAGAGGATAGGAGTAAAGAGTGTATATTTGTTAGTATTTAATTTCAAATTCAGTCCAATCCTAGATCCACTTAGGTCAACCTGGAGTCTCATTCTGGACTAGTGCAATGCCAGATTGGGAAAGCAATTTTCATTAAAGCTTTCACTAGTGGCTAGATAAATATTACATCGAAATAATATTGCTGAACTAGATTAAAACAATGGTATTCCGACATTACGATCATCACTGAATAAATGAAGTTTAAATACGAACACTTATGGATAATTTTCTGTAACAGCTGGTTTACTATAGAATCCTATTTGCAAGTTCTAGAACCCTAAATTAATTTCTCTATCGATGATTATATTAGCTGAAATGCCATTTTTTTTAAAACAGTTCAATAAGAAGTATGCCAAATTAATACCTATTCAGGGGCAGTTAAAAGTTTTCACGAAAACCAGCTTCCCAATCCGATATTTGACTAGGCAAATCTGAGAGTCTCATATTGACTAGGCGCATCTGAAATTGGATTGAACCCAAGATTGGTCACTAATATACATACGTTGTACTTGTTATCTGTACGGCATAGTTGAAAAACAGAAAAAATGAACCACACTATAACACATTTGAATTTCTATACTCATCTTTGTATTTAATTTATTGTTAATTAATTATATTTACTGATTCTCAAATTTATTTACAAATCTTATCAATAAATAACTGATCAATTATTCCGTTTACTGATCAATCATTCGATCTGCTGGTTTTATAATATTCTAACACACTGATCATTTCATCTATTTTACTGATCGCTTAAATCCTAGTCTAAAATAATACTTACTATTTATTGAAATTATCAGATATTTTAAATAGAAGAAAATAATTGTTAATTTATGTTCATAATGTTTAGCATTGAGGCTTGTTGGATAATTGCTGATTAATCGTCAAAAGTGACTCGATTTTGATGACATGGATTACTTTGTTCAGGATATGTACATTTAGTAGTTTTGTAGTTTTAATTAATTGAACTTTGCATATTGAAAAGATTTACAATTTATACGATAGAAGTCATTTAATGTCATTTATTTGAATTATAAAAAAATATGATTTCATTAAATGATTGTTATAATTAAATGATATAATGACTAATATCTGACGCGAGTCTAACTCATAAAAGAATAATGCGATGAGAAAAGGAAAAAATGTTTGTTTTTTGTTTGGATACGTCATAAAGGATTTTAGAAAAATGTTGAGATTCTTATCAGATTTAGTCATACAGAAAACAAATGATTGTAATGCTAGATTCATGAAACAGACGATGTGAGTCAATTATTTCATGTCGTTACAGTATATTTATGCAATGTTTGACGTAAATAATAATAACATGTATTTTAATCTTATACTTATTGAATCAAAAGCTTGAATATTTTTCTCCATTCGACAAAATAATCACGCATTTAAGTAAGAAATGCAGAAAAATCAACGTGAAATTACAATAGTAGTCAATCAATGAATTTGTTTTTTCATAATTATAGATATGTAAAACATTTATAATAACTAATAGATAAACTCAATGTCAAATAAAAGTAAAACTTTTTTTTTCGTCAATATTAGAAAACGAATGAAGAACAACGTTATAAACTAAGTACAAATCAGATACTGTTAACAAATAAAATTTATTTTGATAAAATTTAAATTATAATCTTACAGAAATAACTCTACTATTTGCTTTCACTCTTATTGTAAATACATAGCTTCAAATCCTATATGAAGTGACAATGATAAAATACTACAGTTAAACTTAGAGCTTGAAAAATTAATTTTATTGTTTCGACATTGTCTGATTTTTTTTTCAGACTAAAATGAGTACTGATAAAATTGAACGACCGAGTTATTGGAATTGCGATGGCTGTAATAGAATCATTTTTGATGGTGAATTTCGTTTTAATTGTACTGTCTGTGATGATTATAATTACTGTGAAACATGTGCAATGACGATACGTCCATCGCATCCTCATCAAATGACAAGTGAATTGGCATATGGACCGGCAAAGAATAGTGAATGGAGACCAATGAATATGATAAATGGTATTCAAAGAGCATTTTATATTTATAGTAATCGTTATTGTATGGGTATTAGAAATTTTGATAAAACAAATCCTTCAATATATACGAATTCATATTCATGGATGACATATAAAACTGTAGGTGATCGAACAAAAAATTTTGGTCATGGCCTACGACGTTTAATTGAACCACGTGGTTATCTTAGTATTTGTGCAGCAAATCGACCTGAATGGATAATTACTGATTTTGCATGCATACTTCAGAATATTATCACTGTTCCAATTTATTGTTTGTTTAATGATCATGAAATTGCTTATATTATTAATAATACTCAAGCGTCTGTAGTAGTTTGTGATAAACAAATGCTATCTAGATTTATTCGATTGAGTGTAGAATGTCTATCACTTCGTCATGTCGTATGTATGGATTCTATTTCCGATACAATGTTAGGTAAGTGTTAGATCTTAATACATTGAGAGTATGATTTTTATTTCGAAACCTTCATCTTTGTTGACGTTTAGTATAATTCAATTATAGTCTAAAGACTTATTTGACTATATTTTGTATTATTCAGTTAAAGTTAAGAGAAAAATTTTTTTCAAAAATATTTATCTAGAAAATTTTACTTGTTAAGTTCTTTATTGTTGATCATAAATGTTTATTAATTTCATTTATGTGATACTATTGAAATCATTCTAGCTGAAATACATGAACATAATCTGTCTTTTCATTATATGGGTGATATTGAAAAATATGGTTCTATTAAAAAATACGATCATGTTACTATAAAACCTAATGATTGTCTTACGATTATATATACAAGTGGAAGTTCAGGCTTTCCTAAAGGTGCTATAATTTCTGAAGAAACTTATCGAGCAACATTTCCAAATTGGTTTACAACATGTTTAGTTGAACAAATTATATTCTCCTATCGACCATTAGCATGGGCAGCTGATCGCTTTATAGTTACTGGAACTTTTCTTGCTGGAGGACGTACCGGATTCTCAACAGGAGATGTTAGTCGTCTAATGGAAGAATTAGCTCTAGTTAGACCAACACAATTTTCTGCTCCACCAAGTATTTGGAATAAAATCTATACTGAATTCAAGACAGCTCTTTCTTTGATCAATGCTCATCATTCATCAGCAGAAGAGCTACGTCTATTGAAACAATTTTCAAAACTAATTCCTAATAGATGTAAAATACTTACAGTCGGTAGTGCTAAAGTCAGTCCAAATGTGTTGAACTTTATGAAACGATGTTTTTCCGGTTGTCGAATTAATGAATCATATGGAATTACGGAGTGTGGAAGTGTAGCTTATAACAATATTTTAGAAGATACAATTAAATATCGTCTTGAATCTGTTCCAGAAATGGGTTATACAATCGATGATAAACCTTTTCCACGAGGAGAAATTTTAACAAAAACTACAAAAATGTTTTCTGGATATATTAATAATTCCGAAGAAACTCGAGTAGCTATCACCGATGATGGATTCTTTCGTACTGGTGACATTGTTGAATTGCGTATAGATTCGAGTGGTCGACATGAGTTGCATGTTATCGATCGTAAAAAGAGTTTCTTTAAACTTTCACAAGGACAATTTGTATCACCTGAATATCTTCAAAATATTTATATTCGAAGTTCATTCGTCGAACAAATCTATATTCATGGTGATCTTTTATCAGATTGTGTTGTTGCAGTGATTGTACCTAACCGAGTATATGTACAAGCATTTGTCATTGAACATAATTTGATAAATTTCGATATAAATAATCCAGATCCACAATTGTATAATGCAATTCTAGAAGATCTTCGTTCGATTGCCAAAAATGAATCACTTCGAATGCATGAAATTCCATCACGATTAATTATTGATTTTGAACCATTCACACCAGAAAATGGTCTTCTTACTTCTTCGTTCAAACCTTGTCGTCATAAGTTAGCTGCACATTATGCAGATAGACTAAAATCAATTAATACTATTGATCAACGACTAAAAACTATTATTGAAATAGCAACAGAACAATCGATACCAAACAATGATAATGAACATTTCTTGTTTGCTAATGGTAATAATTCATTGACAGCCATACGATTATCTCGTATGATTGAAAATAATTTGGGAATACCTATACCAGTAAATGTACTTTTTGAACATACCATGACTCTTCAAAGATTAATAAATCTTATCAAAAATCCTTCTCAAATTTCTTCGATGACAAATTCTCTTGTACCACAACTATTGAATGATTCTCAATTAGATATAAACATAACTGTAGGTAAACCTAAAAATATAGGTCAATCTCCGTCAATGATTTTCATTACTGGAACTACAGGATTTGTAGGTGCATTTCTACTGGCTGAATTATTAACAATTTATCCTTCAAATTGTAAATTTATTTGTCTTGTACGATGCAAATCTTTAGTGAATCCTTTGGATCGTATTCGAGAAAATATGTTCTTCTATCAGATATGGAAAGAAGACTATCAAGAACGCATTATTCCATTACAAGGTGATTTAGCAAAAATTCATTTTGGATTAAGTAATGAAATATATGAATTGTTAGCTAATCAAATTGATATTATCTTTCATTGTGGTGCTATAGTTAATTTTGTATTTCCTTACACTAAGCTCTATGGTCCAAATGTATGTGGTACTCGAGAGATTATTCGTTTGGCAACACATACTTCAACTTGTATACCTGTACAATACATCTCAACAGTAAGTGTTTTATCATCGGAATTTAATCAAGAATTATCAATTGACAAGGTTCCTCCAGATGGTTTAGTTAGTGGTTATGCACAAAGTAAATGGGTAGCTGAAAAACTAATTACTAAGGCAAATCAATTAGGCCTTCCAGTGGTTATCTATCGTCTTGGATCTATATGTGCCGATACTGAGACAGGTGCATGTAATAGAAAGGATATTCATACTTTATTTCTTGCCGCAATAATAAAGATGGGTTGTTATCGTGAAACAGAAGTTAATACTCATTTTAATTGCTTACCAGTCAATTTTACTGCTAAAAGTATTGTCTATTTGAGTAGTATTCAATCTCATGTATATGGAAACATCTATCATGTTCTAAATCCTGATAGTCAACTGCCATTTAAAGATATAATTAATGGTATATGTCACTGTGGTATTGAATTAAACAAAGTCTCTGATAAAGAATGGGGAATCAAATTGAAGACAATTACTGATCAAAATGGTCCTTTTGAATTTGTAGAAGAATTCTTATCAGAAAATACTTTTAACAAAGGATGTATATTTTCTGCTAAACATTTTAAAAGTGCTGTTTCTTCGTTGAATTTTCCATCTTTAGATAAAGATTATGTATGTAAATGGTTGAATTTTATACTTCATCATATAGTTCGGTAATATATATTGTTTTTTGTTTTCACAATCATGTTCTAATCAGAATATATATGAAACAGAATTTAAATTATTTTTAATTTTAAATGATCATCTCTCGTAGAACTATTATCATTATGAATATCATCAGGTATTCAATTAAGAAAAATGAAATTAATGTAATAAATCGTTCGTGATAAATGTAAAAACCGTTTGTAACATTGCTCTACCTGTCGCTTCAAATGAAAAAAAAAACACAGTTTGTAATATAACCAATACAAAAAAAAGGTAAATAAAAAATTTCAAGTATGTCACTCTATTGAAATCACTATTGGTCTGATGAAATATGACAACAACTACAAAAGAATGCTACATAGTGAGCATCATTTCAAAATATTTCAATTAATAGAATTGATTATCAGCAATATTAAAGGACTTTTTTGTCAGTGCCAATGAATAGGCTAAAACGTTAACATTTCTTAATGAATATTGATCATAGACTGAATCAATATCAAAGGAGCTTTTTTTGTAATAATAACCAACGATCAATCTGACGTCAGGAACAAAAGACAAATCCATAGAGAATGAAGCAAATGCTACAGCATCTCCTTTAAAGCTAGTTTAATGCTAAATTTTAGCGATTTCGCTTCAAAACTTCGTGCATGAATTGCATCTCCCACTTCATCCTGCAAAGCGGTACCTCCTTTCAAAATTTCTCGGATTTCTCCCGATGAACAACGAAGTTAACAAGAAAAACCTACACTTCTTTATGTGCATCTTCATGTTTTTTGTCTGACTACGACGAGCGACAAACAATCTAGTAACTGACAAACATCAATAAAAGACACTCGAAATATTTTCAACATTTTTGAGGTGAATTTTTTTTACGATTTTTATACAATTGACATATATCTTTTTACTATTCTTTACTTCGTTATTGCTCTCTCATCCAAACTGATACATATTCTCTCGTCATTGAAAATAATAATGCATATTTATATAGTTCATAATGGCAATGAATGACGCCATTTGTTCCTTATTTAATGAGCATTATTCCGAATTTATTCGTAGGGGTTACTCCCGACTGAGACCGTGCTTAATTGGTAAAAATTCGTCCCACTTTTCCGAATTCATCCTTAATTAAGTTAAAAAAAGATATAATAAAATGATTTATTAATTAAACTATCTGACAGAATAATTTATGGAAAGAGATACGAAAAATATCACAAAAAAAGAGAGACATGAAAGGAAATTACTTAGCAAAGTTCATTTTCATACATTGTTCACATTCATTGCAGGCTGCATAGAAGATAAGTTACCATCATTATTTTGTTAGAGGTTGAATAAGAGCATTGAATCAATATTTTTACTAACTTTTTTTCGTGTACATGCATTAAAATATTATTCTTCAGCACAGTGCTGTTGAAACTGGTATTCTTGACATAAACATTGTATAAAATTAAAAATATGAGGATGTACAGGAAAAATTGAATTGATTCTTTTATTGAATGTTTCAACGTGATTATTTGTACGTGGTAAATGTTCAATAATTTTAGAATAGACATTCTTTATATAAATTCATAGTACGATAAAAGCGATGTTTTCTTGTTAATTATTATTAGTTAAAGACAAATTAATAAGGGACGAATTCGGAATTGACATTTTCCCTGAAGATCTTAATGGGACGAATTCATCAGGGACGAGTATGGTCCTAGTCGGAGCTCTCCCCAATCAATCGTTCCTACATTCAATTATATTTTTTCATTTGTAACATTATTACGTCAACGACTTTGAACGACAGTTTGTGCTCTTTATCTTATGATCTTTTCTATATATTTGTTTCATACTTCTGCTTTTTTATGTTACAACGACTGCCTTGACATTGGTTGATTACAATTCAAGATCATATTGTCTATAGTCATGTTATATTATTCTCTAAGGCAAAGTTAAAATTTAGACAAAATTAAAAAGAAATTATAAAATTTAAAAAAATCGATTCTGTTCTTCAATTCACGAATATCTTCAACCTTCATTTTGTACAAGTTTGATTGGACATAATCCCACAGATAAAAATCAAGTGGAGTAAGATCTGGAGATTTCAGCGTCCAAGAAATTGGTCCACCTCTACCAATCGATCTATCATTAAAATTCTCATTTAACCATGTACGAACTTCTTTTGAAAAATGTGCTGGAGCATCGTCTTGCTGAAAAATGATATTTTTTATGAAGTCTTTCCTTTTGTAAAATTGGATGAAAATATTTTTTTAACAGATCCAAATAGTTTTGATGATCAATTGTGTCTTCTTCAAAAAAATAAGGACCAATTATTTGTTTGCTTGACATTGCACACCATAAATTGATCTTGGGCGAGTTCATTACAGTCTCAATGGTAATAAGTGGATTGGTTGTAACCCAAATACGACAATTTTTCTTACACCGATTTGTGGCTCTCTGTTCAAAGTCTCTTCAACTTCATTTATTATACCTTCTCTGATTGTTGATGGTCTTCCGGAATGGATGTGATCTTCAACTGAACAAGTTTCAAGAAACCTTTGATAGATAGATGTAATACTATGACATTTCGGAATTTCTACTGCTTCTTATCGTCGTAAATTCACGAATCATCATTATTGGAGATTCAAATTTTTTCATTAAGATAACGATTTGGATTTTAGTCTCCAAATTAAATCTGAAATGAAAACTAAACTTGGAGCATTTCTCTTTCAAACAAAAAAAAAAGTTATTGAATTTCGTTAAGAAATGGCTGAGATATTTAATATTTTTTTGAGTAGGTGACTTTTGCAATACCCTATATTTTAAAATCGAAAGAAATATTCATTTATAATCGAATCCATAGGCTATATAATTGTTAAAACTTTATTTTAGTTTGTCTACACCTACCTTCATCGTGTATTATTATTTTTTATTCTGTTTTTGTTTTGTTCTGTTCTGTTTCGAAGAATCATGTGGATGTGTTTGCACAACATCCAACTGAAATTTTCAACGAAGGTAAGATTATAGACATGCATGCTTGTGGTGACAATTTCTTTGGTAGAATGTTATTTGATTATTCACAAGTGGAAAAAGATGAACTTATACATCGAGCTACTCGTCAAGGTCGTGTTTTGTCGCTTGAAACTTATCTAAATCAATATCCTATTGCAAATATAAATCAACAATATGAATATGGACGATCACGATGGACATTATTAATTGCTGCATGTTTTTATAAACATGAAAATATAGTACGTATGTTATTACATCGTTTTAAACCTGATATAAATGCAGTTGGCGATGTTAAACTTGATTTTGTTCATGATATAATGTATGGTGTATCACCATTATGGGTTGCTGTTGCTGTTGGTCATTTTGGTATTGTAAAATTATTAGTTGAAGAAGGCAATGCAAATATAAATCATTTATCTGTTACACGTAGTTCACCACTTCGTGCTGCATCTTATATTGGTCGTCTTGATATTGCACGTTATTTAATTTCACATGGTGCTGATATAAAACTTGTACGTGATGGAAATTATACAAATTTAATGTTAAGTGCTTATCGTGAACATACACATATGGTAAAATATTTTCTTGATGAATTATATTGTGATCCAAATGAATATGATCAAGATGGTCGAACACCATTACATTATGGTATTGATGGTGGTTCACTTGATGTTGTTGAATTATTATTAAAACGTGGAGCAAAAAATATCTCTCATAATATAACAAGTCCACTTTTATGGGCTGCATTAGATGCAAGAGAAGATTTAGTTGATGCTTTTGAAAATTATTATTTATCAGATTTAGAATGGATTGAAGCAAGAGAAATACTTGGAGCATCATATGCAAATATTGAATCAAAAAATTATAATCTTAATAAAGCTATTGAACATATAAAAATAGCATATAAATGGAGAATAGAAAAAAATCTTCCAAAAAAATTTTCATCTATTCAATCTATTGAAGCATATAATTATTTTCAAGAATGTCAAACATTAGAAGAATTTAATCAAATTTTATCTCAATCACATAATCGATTACATATTGAATCATTACTTATACAAGAAAGAATATTAGGTCAAAAAAATAAACGTTATCGTCATGCTATAAGATTTTATGGTGCTTTATTAGCTGATACACATCAATATGATACATCATTACGATTGTGGTTATATGAACTTGATTTACGACGACAACATAAAATTAATTTTGATAAATGGCATTTACGAAGTTTTGTTCATATGTTTGCTGAAATGATAATAAATCATGTAGATATTATATCTGAAAAAGCTATATTAGAAATTCTAAAAGCACTTAATGATGAACTTTCAAATAGTCGTAATAATGATCATAATCTATTGACACTTTTCTATCTTATTACAATTATTAGTCAGGTATGTTACTTATTATTAAAATTTCAAAATTTTCTATGATTGTAAAATCTTATGTATATTTGATTATAGATATCTGATAAACAAAAAATTTTGCCTTCAATGATGGATATTTATCGAATATTAGTAATGTTTGTTCGAACTTGTTATACAACTATTGAAAATTCACAATATTGGACTCTACTTCATTTAAGTATGATGACAGGTTTACCATGTGTAAATGATAATCATATTATGGCACTATGCAAGTATGTTTTATTTTTATTTTTTCAATTTCTCAACAAGATTACTATCTGTTTCAAAAAAGAAGACGAATGATTGCGAGTCGAATAAATCAGGAATGAAAGTAGCTATCGAACTGTGGTTTTCACCATTAAAAAGCGGACACCGAGGCATGTAAATTTATGAAAAAGTTTCATTGGTCAATAATGGACCAATAGGACGAATGCCACTGGATATTTTCAAGATAGCTTTTGGAACACTTTTTTCGTTGGATTTTAAACTTCAATTAAACCATTCGATAAAAAAAATTGTTCTCTTTCGATTTACACAAGGTCGAACTCGATAACTTACTTCATTTGGTGACTATAAGCACTTTTCTGAGACCCCCGAAATCGGTCAGGTGACGCAGAA